GTGAACTGGTGGGAAAGTTCTCTGCAGTTCCCTGGGGTGTAGCCACGTGTGAGCTTGCGTTCACTGTGTTCTTCCCTTTTTCTTTCTCTCCACCCCCACTCCTCTCCTTCCTACTCCCCTTCCCTTCTCTTTTGGTTTCTGCTCTCCCTGGTGGTGGTGGTGGTGTCGGTGCAGCTGAGGTGGCAGGCAGCAAGGCTGTCCCTGCACTACCAGAGAGTGGCCAGTCAGAGTCTGAGCCACCTGAAGTGGAAGGCGGAGCAAAGTCTTCGGGTAATGAACCCCTCCTGGGAGCCAGAGACAGGCCAAAGCTGAGTGTGGGGCCCAGAGGGCAGAGCTGGGCCTTGGGCGTCAGAGGCCCAAAGACAGGGACAGACCTTGTGCCATCCCCTGATGAGGGCTGCACAGGCCTTTCAGAGCAGTAGGGGGAGCAGCCTGTGTTCAGTCATGATGTGGGGCGGGCAGCCTGGCCTGGTGTCCTGGGCCCAGTGTCCTTAGCCTGACATTCTGAGCCACTTCTTCCTCACACCAGTTACCACTCCAGTGTCACCATGGAAATAGGCTTACGTGCCCCCCACGGTCCCTCAGCGTTTGCCTATGCTAACTGCCCTGTCAGGGAAGGGACCCCCTGTGTCCTTTCTGCAGCTGTCTGACCGCCCTGTGATGAGTTGAGGGGATCATGAAATAGATGACAGTTGGGGCAGGGGCGGCGCTGAAGTGCAGCAGAGCCTGAGGTGGGACAGAGTTGAAGGAGACTGCTGCCCATGGCTTTTCAAAGTTCCTGAAACCAGCCACCACCTCTTTAGCCTTCCTTCAAGGAATGGGAGCCCTTCCCCTGTTCCCCAAATGAAACACAACTGCCCTGCTACTTTTCCCTTAACTTTCATCATTAAGCATCTTCCCCTGGTATGGGACACACTAAGCAAAATTGCCCTCTACAGGGCCCTCTAGAGGAGGAGGGCCTCAGGAGACAAGTGGGCAGCATGGGGCCAGCATGCTCGGAGCTTATCTGCAGGGTGGCTTCCCTGGCCCAGTCAGCACGGGAAACACCAAGGGAACAGAAAATGGCTTATATTTCCTTTGCATTTGCCTACTAATGTCTTTCTCTTGCCGTGGGGACAGGGAACTGTTTTTATGTCAGCATGCCAGCAGGACCCGTGGACTCAAGCACCGACTCCTTAGGGGCACCCACAGACCTCGCCCAGCCTGAGACCCTCCCTGCATGGCAGACAGAGCCTCGACCCCAGCTACAGGAAAACAGTGAAGATCAAAGGCACCCCAGCCGCTCTCCCCCAAACCTGGCCCTCAGGGACATGGGCATAATCTTCCGAACCATTGAACAACTTACCCTTAAGCTCAACAGGCTCAAGGTGAGGGAAACGGGGCACGGGTAGGTCCCCATAGCAGTGGGGTAAGCAGCCTGTGCTCAGTCATAAGGGCGTTGGGGAGCCTGGCCTGGTGGCGAAGTTCCTAAAGGGATGTGGACCAGTGGTGTGTGTCCATGGGGGCTCTAGATCTTGGCCTGGCCCAGAGCTCTCCCCACAGTCCCTCCAGCCTCCCTCAGACACCAGCCCCTTCCCCAGAGGCCTTATGAACAGGCACAAGCAGACCTTCCCATGCACTCTTCTAGGACTTGGAGCTGGCCCACAGAGAGCTGCTTAGCTCTCTTGGAGGAGAGTCCTCCGGTGGCACCACGCCTGTGGGCAGTTTCCACACAGAAGCGGCTAGGTGGACAGACAGCTCCCTGTTGCCTCCAGTGAAGGAACCGCTGCCCTCCGACCCCAGGGGCAGCCACGAACTGGAGCCCTGCCCTGAGGACCGTGAGTGAAGCTGATTTCCTCTTTGTACCAGCCCTGGGGGAGAAGGCCTCCCACTAGTGAGGAAACAAAACGCTGCCACTCAGCATGAGAAGAGTGAAGGGGTTTCTGGCGTGGGCGTGTTCTCATTTCCCCCTTGTATACAGTTAACTCCCCTAGTTCTCATGAGCTTGAGGACTTTCCAGCCAAAACATTTAAGAGGGAGGGTCATCTCGGAGGCCAGTTCCCACTGTCATTGTTGCATTCCCCACAGGCACCAGCACCCCCCTGGAAGACAGTGCAGCAGACACAGCCACATCCCCAGGACTGTAACTGTCCATACCATCAAACTCTCTGCACCCCTCACCCCTCCGCTACGGACTGGTCTGAGGCAGGGCACAGGATGGGGACACCCCAGAGCTGTTCCCACGGTAGAGGCAGTTGAGGAGATCGGTCTACCGAGGGAGACCCGCATGTTGCCTGAGAGTCCAGTTTCAGTGTCTTTTCCCCTCCCTTCAGCCCTCCCCTCCAAGGCCTCAGGTCTCCTTGGTCTCCTGCGCATGCTGACTGCATTGAAAGGCCCCCCCCTTGTCCCACACGCGCATGTCCACTGGTGTGCGTGGGCACCCTCAGACATGAAGTGAAAGGGGGAGGTTTCTGTGTAAATGCACTTTCTTCTTTCCCTCCCTTTCTCCACAGGACCCCAAGGCTAAGGGAGGTGCCTCCACCTCTCCTCTCTGTCACTTGGTTTCCTATAAATATGTATGTATTATATGTGCATCTTTGCTATTGTAAATAACTTTTGACCTTTTATGTTTCTGTTCCTGGAGGGATGGAGGCAGCTACAGAAGCCACTACTAAGGGAAAAGGAGGTTTACTTGCGTCTCCTAGTTAACACCCAACTCCAGGATCAGGGCCTGAAGGCTGAGCCAGCCCTGCGTGTCCCAGTCCTCTGTGGGCCCAACTAGCTCAGGAGCCCGGTCTCTACAGCTGGGGGCCAAGCTACTTCCTCCCCACTAGGACTCCTCATCTTCAGGGGAATTTCTTACCCCACCTGTGTCTTCCTTTTCCCACCCTTTTCCTTACAGAACACCAGTGTATCAGGTACGGAGCTAAAAACTGGGCCCCAGGAGGGCGGGGTAGGGGGTTTGAATGCTGGAGTCCCTAAATTCACCCAGGACCATTCCCAGGAGCCACTGCAACATTTGCCCCTGTTACCGTGTCCACAGCACTCCCCCGCTGACTAATAGAATATACACACTGTGCTAGGTGTATATATACATATATATAAATATATATAATATATAAAATATAGATATGGAAATGACTGTTTTGCTGTTAAAATAATGTATACTCTTTATTTTCTTCCTTTCATGGTTAAGATTTTTTTTTTTAAGAAAAGTTAAATATTCTTCAGCTGCAGTGGTGTGTGTGTGATTCTTGGAACTGCTGTGATAAAACATACGGTTGTCCCCCCCCTGGGACCGGTTAGAATTGGATAGAGGGACAGAAGGTTATCCCTCTTCACCCTTGGCATCCAGTACCCAGACGCAGGTCTTGCCATATTCTCTCCCAGAGCTCCAGCGCTCACCGGACTACTGCTGGGCAAACTAAGTTATGGGGCCCCATGGCCAAAACACAAAAAGACACTTAACACACTTAATTTAAAAACACAGCCATGGCTGGTGTGGCTCAGAGGACTGAGTGCTGGCCTGCAAACCAAAGGGTCACCAGTTTGATCCCCAGTCAGGGCACATGCCTGGGTTGCGGGCCAGGTCCCCAGTAGGGGGACGCATGAGAGGCAACCATGCATTGATGTTTCCCTCTCTCCCCGCCTTTGTCTCTACAAATAAATAAATAAATAAATAAACAAAACCTTTTTAAAAAAAAACACATACATACATACGTACAGAAGAGCAGTGGACCTAGAGTCACAAGACCTCATGAGCTGCCCACAGTGAGCTTCAGGACTTTAAAGGCAAACACGAGGGGGAGGGTCATCTCAAAGGCCTGGCCAGTTCCTCACTGTCATCAGCCCTCTGCATCCTACGGGCTCCAACACCCCAACACACCCTAGAAGCCAGCATAGACAGTCACAGGCACATCCTTGGGATCTTAACCATCCAAACCTCCGCTATTTCATTGTCTTCATTGTTGGACTTAAAGGCAAATTCTCTTTTCAGCCCTAATACTCTCACTCCTAAGCCTAGTGTAATACTAGGTGCTGAGTTTACCTTATGAGTTTACAGCCCAATTGGGCATGATAATACACAAAACATGGGTGATAAAGTATAGGGATAAGCCCTGATTGGTGTGGCTCAGTGGGTTGGGTGCTGTCCCACAAACTGAACAGTTGTAGATTCAGTTCCCAGTCAGGGCACATGCCTGGGTTGCAGGCCAGGTCCCCAACTGGGGATGTGCAAGAGGCAACCAATTAGTGTTTTCTCTCACTCATCAATGTTTCCCTCCCTCCCTTACCTTCTCTCTAAAAACAAAGTCTTTTCAGGAAATTGAAAGTGTAGGGATAAGAATGGGGCTGTTAAGTTTCACTGACGCTTTACTTTAGAAGAACTCGGCAGGAATAACTGGAGGAGCGTAGGTGACTAATTCTTGCCAAGCAACAGTAATGTATGTGCTCAGTATTGGGAATCCAAAGAGCTGATCAAGTTTTCCTGCAGAAGCTCAGCCAGCTGCCAAGAAGCTGAGCAGCACCCCAGGTGATCCGACGCAGAGAGGCCTGGGAGAGTGCACTGAATCTCCAAGAGAGTTCTCAGCAGGGAGAACAGTCTCTGTAAAGGCAGCAGGATGGCATATATGGACCAGGTTAAATCTGCCCAGAGGGGAAGAAGGGACACTTCTCTGGAAGCTCCCTGTAAAGTGGATATTGGCTCCACAAAAGCCAGCCCTGTGCACTCTTGGCCTTGTCAGTACACTGATGGGCCTCCAGATCTCCTGAGAGCTGTGGCCCCACACCATCTGGGTGTCCCTGGTTTCAGATTGCAGACATCTGCAGGCACATGTCCACTAGGAAACAAAAGAGAGACCCTGGCCTGAGCAAGCAAGAAGTGGGCCCCCAGGTGGCAGAAAACCAAGGGCCCAGCAGAACTGTGAGGCGATTCAACCATTTCTGGCCATGTTACACAGACTTAGTCCAAATGTTCCAAGTCGTTCTGAACCAAAGTTTTTCAGACAACCTCAAGGAAAAAAATACAGCAATGGACCTTTTTAATGATCTGAGACCTCTCCCGGGGAGGTCAGCCCACAAGGACAGGAGATGCTTCTGTGACCCAGAGTGTGGGGGGGGGGGGTCGGTGGGAGGTACTAGGTGGGAAAAGCCATGGCCTCGTCCTCTCTGGTCTTGGCCTTACTGATGGGGTCCCTTGGCAGCATCAGCTCTTGAATCATGGTGTACACAGGACATTGCAGGGAGAAGCAGTTTTTCTGGAGGAGGAAAAGGAAGGCTAATATCTACAAAAGGGGATGGAACTGAGTTCTCTGGGACCAAAACTTCCGGGGACAGGAGCAGTTAGGGGCTGGCGGATATGGACAAAAGGCAGAGTGGGTGTGACTGCTTATCTTGCACCAAGACAGATGGAAGTTATATTGTGATTTAAAAAAAAAAAAAAATACAGACCTGCCTTGGAAACGGCGGCTGGGGGTGGGAGGGCAGGGTGGCACAGAAGCTGCAGCAGGGCAGTGATGGGGACTCACCGCCAGAGAGAGCCACAGCAGCCCCACGGGACCCTTGGGTGCATTCTTGGACTTGGAGAACTGTGCCTGGTACTGCACTGCGATCAGGAAGCCCTCCAGCCCCACCTCAGTGATGCGGTTTCCTGGTGGAAGGAGCAGACAAGGTGCCTCTCACACCACCAGCAGCACAGGATACCTTTGAGAGCCTCTCCACAACAAGCTCCCAGCTCACCAGCCCAACAACTGACTCCTCACCTAGGCCTTCAGCCCAACTCTCCTTCACTTCTCTGACTCCTTTGTCTGAGCTCCCTCAGCCTTTTTATTTTCCTGCCGCCATTTATGTCTCTCACTCCCCTCATTACTCTTGAATTATCTGACCCAGGGCCTGACTTCCTGTCATCCCAAGCCCCTGCGAAAGGACCTCCAACACCACGACGTGCAACCATAGGAGGACCAAATTCTGCTCTGTGGGGTCAGGGCAGGGGCACCCTCGGGGCAGAGCGGCACCCCAGTAGCCTTGTGGCAGGAGGACAGAGGTGACTGGCACACATACGGAGGAGGTTGAGGTGCAGAAGGACCTTGTTCCCAGGCATGAAAACTTTCCCATCTCGGTGCTCCACAGGCTCCAAGAGAGGGTTGACCACCTCAGTCGTTTCAGCAACCAGCTGCTAAAGCAGAACACTAATCGCTGCAGAGGAGAAGAGCTGGTCCACAGGCTATTCATTCATCCACTTAACATACATGTTCTGAGGGTCAGCTCTAGTGTAGGCTTTGTCCTAGGTGCTAGGGATACAAAAATAAATATGCCCGTACCCTCAAGAAGCAACTAGGGTGGGTAGGGAGGCAGACAGTGAAACGGTAATACAGTATGTGTGACAAGTGGCAGAGGTAAGCTCAGAGCACGAAGCAGGGACACCTAGCCCAGTCTCCCAGACTGGCGAGCTGAAGTTTGAGTGGGATGTGGTGGATACCAATGCAGTTGAAAGGAAGAGTGCTCCAGGCAAAGGAAACAGGTGGTCAAAGGCCTAAGACAGTATGTCGCACTCGGGTTTTACTGTTTCGTAAGGGCTAGAGCACCGAGGACAATGGCGGGAGGAATGGATGAAGGCAGGATGAGAATAAAATGCCATGGTCCTGGTGAGAAACAGCAGCCTGGGTCAAAATGGGACAAGAGAATGAGAGGCAGCCTCACCCCTTTCCCCACCTGACCATCCTCTTTGTAAGACCTTGTCTAAGGTACCGGAGAGGACTCCTAGAAAAAGAGCAGCATTTCCTGTTTAAGGCAGGGGAGGTCTCCTGATGGATAGCCTTCCTCTGGCAGCCGACTCCACCAACAGCTGGAGGGCTGGCGGGGGGGGCAGCTATGGTTGGCAGTCCAGGAAGCAAGGAAAAATTGGCCCAAGTTGAAAGGGAAAGGGAGGGCTCCAGGGCCAAGGAGAGAGAGAGGGCCTGAAGAAGCCTCGCACAGGGCGGGGCAGCACCGTGACCGGGAAAGGTCCTGCCTCTGTGGGAGCTGCTCAGAGGGGCGCTGCTCCCAGGGCAGCCGGGCCAGCAGGTGGTGGGGTAAGCCCATGGCCTTTCGGGGTGCAAACGGAGTGGAGACAGGGTCAAAAGTGTGAGTTCCTAACAAGCAAGGGAAAAGGGGGGTCTCCTCAAGTCTGAAGGAGAGATGGGCACGCTGTTATCCCCCAGCAAGCCCAGGTTGGGATGGGGGGGTGTCACGTGTGGCTGGGGCAGGAGTGGAGTACAGAACATGGACTGAAATGGCTTACAGGGCTGGAGACATCCCAGGGACATGCCCCCCAACCCTTTCCCCTGCGGCCTACCTCTGATTCCAGGAGGATGCTACGCTTCTCTTTGCTCCCAGTCTTTGGCCCTTTTCCCTTGGTTGGTTTCTGTTCAGGGATGGTTACCTCTGGGGCAGAAAGCACAGTGTAGACATCTGATACCAGATTCCCCTGAGAGAGGGGCTGGGCAAGGAAGGCAACTCCTCAAACTGGGTTTGGGTGCAACAGAAACAGCTGGAGGGACACTCAGCTGAAGGGAGGTCCTCCTCTGAGGGCAGGGCCACAGGGATCCAGCCCAGGGAAACAAGCGTACAGTGCAGCGGTCAGGATGGGGGGGGCCGGGGGGTCAGGTGGCGCTTTTCATATCATCTCCCAAGAGAAGGAAATGGACTCAGAGAGGGATGTGCCCAGAAGACTAGCTCACCCCTCCTGCATCCTACCCCACGCTCCTCCTGAACCAAGAAGGTGCCGCAGAGGGGGACTAGCACTTACTCCCCTTGCCTGCCTTTGTGGAGTCTTCCTTCTTTGGGGTTCCTTGTGTGGGTGACTGTCCAGACCCTGACTTCTCCTCTTTCTTCACCACTTCCTGCAGAGGATATAAGAAGACAAATTAAAGTCCTCCCTCCATGGGGAATGGGGAGCAGGTTGGGAAGAGGCCAGTGTTAGGACGCTGGGCCTGAAGTGGGCCTTCGAAGGCCTTCTTCCCTCCCCACTCCACCAGTGTACCAGGAAGTTTCCTCGCTGCTCTGCTCAAGAGTGCCCAAGGCTCTCTTGCCCACAGCATGCCTACCCCTGACTTCTCCTTTTTCTTGCCCAGGCCCTTAGGGGTCTTCGCTGTTTGCATCTTGTCTGCCTTGTCCACCAGTGCAATACTGCTGACGCCCACCAGCTGATTCTTCTCACGGTCTGTTTTGGAGTCCCCATGTCGAGAGGAGGAAGGCTGTGCTCACAAATGGGAGGAAATGGAGGCAGGAGCCAGTGCCCCTTCCCCAGTGAGGGGAAGCCGTATGCCTGTGTGGCAGTCCTACTGACAGCACCCCAACCTCCATCTGCCTGCATAAATGCTGAAGTATCTGTTTGGGACTTCTGGCGGGGATGGGTGATGTTGAGAAGAAAAGCCAGAGGGACCTGGGGACAAGCTGGGGGGGGGGGGGGGGCGGGTGTAGGGGACCAGGCTCTCATATTGTTCCCAGTGCACTTACATGCATTAAGTCATTTAATCCTCTTAACAATCCGATGGGTGACATAACAAGGTCACAAGCTGTTATGTCACAAGGGATTTTAAGGTTTGGCAGTCTATTCTTTTCTCTTAACCAATACATTCTACTGCCCCTGGAGGGGTTCTGCAGAGAGAGCCCAAACGTTTGCTAGGCCTGTGCAGAAGTCGGACAGCAGGACAATCACAACAGAAGAAAGGTTAGGGCGTGGCTAGCTTGCTGAGAAACACGGGCCTAGGAAGAGGCTGGGGAGCTGCTCACCGACCGCGAGCGCTCCTGGGTCCCCTTTTCCAGGAGGAGGCGGCGGCGCTCCACCACCTCAGTGTGCGTCAGCTCGAAGGGCCTCAGGACCTGGGCCAGGTGGCACCACGCAGTCAGACGCCACCGCGGAGCAGGTCCACTCAACCAGGCCACCCAGTCAGCCCACCCACCTCAGCGAGCTTCAGAGCGCCCTTGTCCTGGATGCGGTTGTGGGCCAGGGACAGCCAGAGCAGGGAGCGGTTGAGCCGGAGGCCCTGAAGGGAGGAGGGGTGCATGAGTCTGCGGATGGGGGCACCCAGGCCCGGTGGGTTGTCCCCACTGCGCACGCACGTCGGCGATGTAGCCAGCACCCTCGTCCCCGATGTGGTTGAAGCCCAGGTTGAGTGAGACCAGGGTTCGGTTGCAGCTGTGCAGTGTGGACAATGCCTGGCCTAGGAGTTGTGCCCCATGGTCATCGATGTTGTTGTTCCGCAGAGACAAGTGCGCAATCCTGGGCAGCGGGAGGGGGAATGAGGAGCACTGGAAACACGGGGTCCTGAGCATGCACTGGAATCTCAGGGAACTTGGGGACATGAGGAGGGCGCCATCAGGTCTGAGGTTGGTGGGGCAGGAATTCAGGGTGCCTGGGGACGGGTTCCGGGGCAAGGAAGGATGTGGGCTAGGGATGACGTGGAATGGGGGCAGGCCCCGAGAAAGGGGGTAGGGGAAAGGAGTCTCACCTGCTGTCCAGCGCCATGAGCTTGTGAAATGACTGCTCCGGCAGTGGGTTCCCCTCCAGAGACACCTTCCTGAGGGTGGGGTTGATTTGAGAACCAGGGAGCACCACTGAGGCCGGGTGAAGAAAGGGGACGGAGACGGGGTGTAGGGCTCAGAGGAGCAGCTTGGAACACAGTCAAAGAATGGATCTCAGTATAGGAAGTTATATGAGACTTTTTAATTGTATGAGAACTAAATTATATTTATTTCTCCAGACTAAACGTCCAAAAGTGTGGCCATGTGAAGGGATCAGATCACTCCCCAGAATCAGTGACTTCTAGAATGACCCCAAGGATCCCCATTTCCTAGTATCTGTGCCCTTGTGTAATCTCCTCCCTCTGAGTGTGGCTGGACCTAGTGATTAATATCTGATAAATAGAATATGGCAAAAGGGATGTCACTTCCAAGTTTAGCTTACAAAGAAGACTGTGGCTTCAATCTTGGCTGCTCTCTGGCACTCTCTGGGTCACCATGAGCTGCCATGTATTAACAGGGCGCTCTTACTGTATTAACAGGCTGCTTACAGTGGACTCCCACTCCCACTGCCATGCGGACATGCTGCCGCCTATCAACAGCCATGGAAGTCAGCTTGGAAGCAGATGCTCCAAATCCAGCTGAGATGACCACAGCCCAGCCAACAGCTTAACTGCAACCTTACCAGTACCCTGAACCAGAAGCACCCACTAACCTACATCCAGATTTATCTCACAGAAACTGTGATACTAAATGTTTGTTGTTTTAAGCCACTAAGTTTATCAGTAATTTGTTATGCAGCAATAAGTAACTAATATATGATCTATCTACAAGGCAGTGGCTTCTCCAAAGATGCTTAGAAAACGGAGGTCTTTTTTCAAGTCACAACAAAAATTGGACTAATGGCCCTGGCTGGTGTGTCTCGGTGGATTCAGCGCTGGACTGTAAAGCAAAACAAGGGATCACCAGTTTGATTCCCAGTCAGGGCACATGCCTCAGTGCAGACCAGGTCCCCAGTGTGGAGCGGGGTGGGCGGCGCACGTGTGGGGCAACCACACGTGGATGTTTCTCTCCCTCTCTCCCTCCCTTCCCCTCGCTCTAAAAATAGATAAATAAATCTTTTTTAAAAATTGGACTAATGGCTAGAAATTTCTGTTTAAAAATTTTCTCCCATGACTTATTATTGTTGCTTAAACTTTCAGGCTGGCCCATCTGTCAATCTAAACTTGATTATATTCATTTTAAATTATTTTTATTATGTTGATCTAACTTATTTGTACATATTAAAATAAATTCTATAGTTATTTTTCTGCTGGCTAAATTGTGTCTAAATACCATGAGAATAAAATAATGTTTCACAGTATTCTATTCAGAGTGTTAAGGACCTCCAGCTGAAGACAATGCAACCCCACAAGAATCAACCATCCCATCCACGGAAGGAAGACAGACAAGCCAGTGTGGAGGACTGAGGATGTTCTGAGAAGTAAGAGAAGTCAAGGGTGCTGGGGGAGCCTCAAGAAGGAGCGAGGAGCAGCAAATCACCTCTGTCCTTTATACAGCAAACCACACCCGTAGTTACACCTCTTCCCACCTTACTCCTTACTCCTGCCCCCTCCTTTCCCAATTCCCTGCTTAAGCCCCTCCTAGTCCTCCTTCGAGGATCAGCTCCACACCACCTCCTCCAAGCAGTCTTCCTGGTCACCATGCCCCACCCTCAGGAGGCAGCACTACTTCTCTGCTCCCACTCTCTCCCTTCAGGAACCACTTTTCACCACCACAGTCCCTGCGTTGCCCTGCAGTATCTTCCTGAATTCTTCTCTCCCCGTCGCTGCACTGCCAGGTCCTGGAGGATAAGAACCAGCCTCTAGTAGAGTGGCAGGCCCCAGGCCTCGGGGAACAAGGGAAAAACTCCAGGGAGAGAGTGGCAGTAGCATTGATGCAGAGGAGAGCGGATGAGGCCTCAAAGATCCGACTCCTCGGGCACCAGTGGAGGCCGGACAAGGAACTCTGCATCTTGTCAGATGGGAGCTCCAAAACCCAACAGACACCAGCTGAACCCCATTTCCATAAAGATGCCGGCCCAGGCCCATAGGCGCTGGGACTTGCCACTTGCCTCCCCAGACTGCTCCCTCTGACCACCCACTGAGCCTGGCTACCAGGCGCTGCGGGCCTCCCAGCTCGCCTGTTCCCCTCTGCTGACCTGAGTGTGGATGAGCAGAGAGGTAGGAGAGCGATGAATGTGGCCAGGGTCTTATCAGTCAGCCCCACCTTCCACAAGCTGTAGGTGGACGGCACAGGAACGCAGCTGGAGCAGCACGTCCCTCCCAGCCGCACCCTTCCTCATCCCCTGACTCCCAGTTCCTTCCATTCTTTCTCCCGGGCCGTCACCCACGTTGCCCCCACCCCCTCCAGGTCCTCTCACTTGATAGCCTGCAGCTGGCTGAGGGGTGGCAGACATTTAGAGAAGATGCCCAGGATCCGATCCTCAACTTTCCAGCCTAGAGAAGGGAGCGGAGGAGGGTGCCTCAGGCCTTGGGAAGGGGCGGGCCGCGGGCCGGGGAGCGGGGCTCGGGCGGGGAGCCCCACCGCGGATGTAGATTTCCTTCACCGACTTGTCGTCTGGCTCTAGCTCCACCTGGATCGTGGGCCGGAAGAACACGTATTTGCTCTCCAAACTGTTGAGGCTGCAGGAACCCGACAACCGCTGATCGTCTACCAGGCAGGGGTGCAAGGATACCGTGAGGAGAGAGGGACCGGACCGCAGGGTCCCCGAGAGGGGGATGGCTCCCACGGAGGCAGCGGGGCTGGAGGGCTCAGAAGCCGGGCGCCGCTGCTGGAATCAGGCCGGGGTCAGGCCGGGGTCAGGCCGGGGTCTGGCCGGGGTCTGCCGGGTTTGGCGGGTTTGGCGGGTTTGGCGGGTTTGGCGCGGGTAAGCCAGAAGACTCCCCCACCCGCCGTCCCACCCGCTACCCCTCACTTCCAACCGCTCTGCCCTGCGCCCCCGCAATTCGGCCCTCCTTGGATGGGAGACTGGGGATGGGCGGGTGGCCCTAATGGGCACCCCGGGATTCCACCGTCACTCACCTAGGGTGGGCTTTTCTGACAAGGAGGCGGATGGGAGAGAGGTCGGGTGTGGGCGTGGCCGCATGACAACTTTGGGGAAGTCCGTGTAGCCCGACCGGGCGCAGAGCTCGGCGAAGTCGGTCTCCAGGGCTCCGGTGCACTGGTACTCCTCTGTGGGCCGGGGGGTGGGGGGGACAGCGAGGGCAGCCGCGGGTGCGGGCGCCCCGCCTGGTGGGTAGGCCCCCCTCTGAGATGCTGTAAAGACTCACGCTGAAAACTGGGAAATCAAAACCTGGGAGAAAGGACTACAGGGAGGAGTGTGCTGGCTCTTCCACCCACCCCATGGTTCAAGGCCGCTTCCAGCGGCTCTCAGCTCCCTAGGGGGCCTCTGCCCACCACAGCGTGTCCCAAGCTCAGCCTTCTCCCTTGTCCCTTCCTTGCTGGCACTGCTCAGGGTCACAGAAAGAAAGAAGCCCAAGAAGCCCTAAGCCTGTGTGAGCAAAAGAAGGAACAACCCAGGAGGACCTCTTCACTCCTACCCCCAACCCTCAGGATGCCCTGAGGTCCAGCAGAGCAGCAGACTTGTTAAGCAAACATGTATACAGCATTTACTCCTGTCCTGCACTATTCAAAATCTTTAGAAATATTAACTCATTCAAGCATTGTCTAAATTCAGACAGATGCTCCCACCATCCCACTAGTCAAACCTGGGATGCCGAGTCCCTGGAGACCCTGCTTTTTCCTGCTCCCGCAGGGGCATCCAGGAAGAAGTGGTTCCTGAGTGCGGGAGAACCTGGGGGCAGAGGGCTGGCTTGGCACCAGCCTGCTCTCCCGAGTGCCTGGAGGCCTGGAGCCCCACGGGGCACGGGCCGGCACTGCAGGTACTCTGCCCAGAGAGAACTGCAGCTCCCGGCAGGAGCCTGTCTGGAGGTGAGGGGGGACGGGGGGGCACGTGCTCGGCAAGTGTGGGGGCAGGATGCAGAAAGACTTGGGGTTCTTGCAGAAAAGGGGTTGTCATGTACCCAGCCATTGGGGGACACAAACACACAGGAAATGTTGGCTGATGGACAAAGCAGGTGAGAGGAGGCATAGTGGGGCCGGGTGCCACTTGTCCAGCCAACTCCTGCACACCACCTGCTTTCCTGGGCTGTTCCCTCTGCTGGAAGAGCCCTCAACCCTTTCTTGCTTCCTCATTCACTCCACCTTTCTCTACAATGGAGATTCTGAAACTGTAAAAATCACCAGGAAAGCCATTTAAAACAGTATCTTGGACCCATCTTCAAGAGATTCTGATTCCATAGGATGGATGGAGTCCATCAACTTATATATTTTTTTAAGATTTTATTTACTTTTTAGAGAGGGGGGGGGAGGAAGAAAGAGAGGTAGAGAAACATCAATGTGCGAGAGATACGTTGTACATTGTATGGGATTCCCAGTGACTGGGAATCTAACACAACTAACCTTTCAGTTCCCAGACTGGCACTTCAGTCCACTGAGCCGCACCAGCCAGGGCTGATTTGCATTTCTAACAAGGTCACAGCTGTTGCCAAAGCTGCTGGTCCAAGCACAGCACCCTGAGAACTGCTGCTCTAGAACAGCACCACCCAACAGAACTTAATGGGATATTGGAAATGGTCTATGTCTGTGACGCAGCAGGAAGTGCGGCCCTTGGGGCTAGCTCCCACTCCCCTCTGTTCCCACACTCCTTCCCCAGGCTCACCAGTGACCTGGCCTCCTAGTGTCCTGAGATGCAGAAGCCACCAGATGGGATTTCCTCTACACCTACAAACCTTCCTGCATCTTCCATCCCTCTTTTGAGCCCAACATTTGCCCCAGCACAGCTCACAATGGCACCTACTAAAGCTGCCTAACGTCTGTACCGCCCTGTGCAGTTGTAACGTGCAGGCTCCCTGTGCAGTTATCACACCCACTCTCTCCTACCTCTCTTTCCAAGGCTGAGCAGGCTCCCCTGCCATCTCCTCCTCCTCCTCCTCTGAGATCTCTAATCCTGGGCCCTGGGCCCTGAGCCCTCTCCTCCTCTCTGGCTACATTCCACCCCACCCCCCCCAACCCCTAGGCAAAACACTTTCATTCCCAGGGCGTCAACACATCCAAACATCAGCAGGTCCCAAAGCCACATCTCCAGGCTTGACTTCTCCTCAGTGCTCCAGCCCCTATCTCCAGCTGACCGGCTGACATCAGCCCTTGGAGCTTCTCCCTTACATGCTCTTCCTTTGGACTTTCCCGTCTCCATGAATGGCACCTCAGTCCACACAGTACCCAGTCCAGAAAAGCGGGAATCATTTTTGCTGTGTTCCTCACTCTCCACCCCACGCAGCACTACACCAATTCTTATTCTCGTTACCTCCAAAGTATTTCTCCAAGGAAGCTAATCCATTCTCCCTCATACCCTATTCCAGCTACCACTGTCCCTCACCTGGACTATTGAGATATCTTGTAACCCATCTCCCTGCCTTCATTCTCTCCCTCTTCCACTCCATTTCCAATACAGAGTGGTTGTGTGTGTATGCATATGTGTTTAGTATAACTGGGTTCTGTCTTGTCTCTCCTTCTGGAAAATGCTCTTTTTCCAGTTCTCATAGTTCCCTCCCCTCAGCCACCAGCACTGACAAAGAGATGGCACCTGACCGTGGTCTGACAAACTCTTCCCAACTTGTTTTATGGGAAGTCTAGGGACAGCAGTTCCTGTCCCTCTCTGACGGCAAAGCTGGTGACTGTGAATCAAGAAGCCTTCCGATAAATTCCCCTTTGTGGATAATTAATTTGGGTTGGGGTCCTATCACTCGCAACACAGAGAACCACACTCCTGCTTATACTCTTCTCATGGTTTTCTTTTCCCAGAGAACATAAGTTCCATCCACGCAGGACTGTGTGTCTGTCTCATGGTCTGAATTATACCTGGTGGAAGAGCAGGCACCTTCTGGTAGCCCACCTTACTGTGTCCTCCCATCATTCCCTGGTCCTTCTTTTCTCATACATTTTATCACATTTAATTGTATTTGTCAGCATCCCAAAGTAGAGTGTGGGTTAAGGTCAATTCAGTTCAAACATCTGCCAAGTTAAAATTCAGGAACTATGATGTGAGGCAAACGGATTCATATCCCAAGATGGGACAGGGAGCTCAGCACACAGCAGGTGCATAATCTATGCTAGTTGAATGAACACATGAATTTGCGGTTTACAAAACACTTTTTCACCATCAGCTCCATTGTTCTTCACCTCAGTAGGCAGGGCAGGACTCACATTCCCACACTACAGAGAAAAAACATGCCCAAGGCCACACGCCTAGTAATGGTTACCACTTATACACTCTTACCATGTGCCAGGAGCTAGCTACATTCACACACTGAACATTAGCCAGTGGAGCCCTTTCCATACAGCACTTCTTTGCACGAGAAATTCTGTTATTATTTTCTGGCTCGTCTGTCCCGCCCACCAGAGCGTCTTTCTGCACGTCCAGTACAGTGCCTGGCACAACAGCGAATCATCCAACCTGGCTAACCAGAGTCACGAGGGGCTGGTGGCAGCACCCAGAGCCTCAGCCTCAAGGCCTCGAGACCTGATCCCCTAATCCCACCACCAACGTACCAGGGTTTTTGGGCTCCTCCTCGCCCACAGGGGGTAGGACGCTCCCCGGCTTCTCCTTGACCCCGCGATCCCCTTTCTTGGTCACTGTGCTGGACGACTTCTGGGTCCCAGGACGCGGGGCCCTGGGCGAGGCCCCCTGCGCACTCGCCTCACCAGACATGTTAATGTAGTCCCCAGCGACCCTGGGGACCCTCACGGAAGTGAGGAGGCAGGACGAGTGGTGATTTCTGCAGGCAGTGGCCGAATAAGAGGTTTCTATTCAGGGTTCACCGGCCTGGCTTGTCGGCGGTGGTGGCGCGGGCTCCGCGTCCCTCTCCACGGCAACGGCACCAGCTGGGCGAGCCGGCAGAACTGGGTAACCGCAGAGCGCTCGCGGGCGGACAGGGGGCGCTGCCAACTCAAAAGCAGGGGTGGGGGCGGAGCCACAGATGAGGGTGGGGCGGGTGGGAGCCCGGGAAACAGCCCAGCCAGGGCCGAGCCGCAGGGCGACTGGACGCGCGTGGCCCAAGGTCACGGGAGCAGGTGAGCCCTGGAGGACCTGGCCCAGCGAACCCCGCGGGAAGGGAGCGACCCGGGCCTGGGCAGGAAAGGACAGGGCTAGACGAGATCAGGATGAGGGGTGGGGCTAAGGCCAGCGCCCAGCCACCCAAGGCCCCTAGGAAACTGAGCGGAAGAAAATGAGGAGCTGTTTCCTCCTATCAGGGATGGTGTGTCTGAGGAATCTAGGGAGAGTCGGGGTCGGGGTAGATCCTCACTCTGGGTCCACCTTCCTAGCCTGTAAGGAAAGGGCCCCCGGTGGAAAAGGCCCAGACAGACCCACCGTTGGTGTGGGGCTGGGGTCCTATTCTCAACCGCATCTCTTTGGCCTCCTCGAGGTCTGGGAACTTAGTTGATCTGCTAGTGAGTTAATTAGGCTGGTAATGCTTTATGAAAATCTTGGATTCAGTCCTCAGGTAGTCCAGACCCTGCGGGGCCCCCATTTGGGTGCACCCACTCCTGTTTGCTTTCCTGCCTCCAGCCTCCACACCCCACTCAGTTCCACTGCCCCAGTGGCACCACCAGCCCTTCCCACCTTTCAGTTGTCGCTCTTCCCCTGTAAAAATGCCAGTTTGGGGCATGGCTCCCTCTGTGCAGTCTAGTAACTCTCAGAACATGCAACTTGCCCGTCTATCTGAGCACTTACCACAGTGTCACTGGTACTTTTAATTTACTCAGTCACAGTCTTGTAGGGAACATTTATTGGATGCCTACTACATGCGAAGGGGAAACAATGTTGAGCGTAAACACAGGACTCCTGGCTTCAGGGAATTTATATTCCGGTGGAGGAAGCAGAAATTAATCAAAGAATCACATAAAGAAGCAACACATCACAGAGGTGCCTGGAACCCTGCTGGTCTTCTGCAGGCAGCTGTTAAATTAACGCAGCTGTGATCAGTGCTACTAAAGACAGGTACTTCCCAAAGAAGGGGTTGTGAAGGACAAGTAGAAGTTAGCAGGTGAGTGGGGAAAGAAGAGCATTCCAGATGTGCAAAGTCCCTGTGGCAGGAAGAAGTATGGCTAATAGGAGGACCTAGAAGCCAATACAACTGGAGTAGCGAACACATTTCAAGGTAAAGCTGAAGACAGAGATAAGCCAGCCAGTAGATTCTTTAATTAAGACCTTTGACAGCATTCACTCTGGTCCAGTAGCAATGGGGCAGCCGTGAAGACGCTCAGGCAAGGGCAACCTAACCAGCTTAAATTTGGAGCTGTTGGTTGGAAGGAGTGCCAAGTGAATGCAGGGGGAGCCCGTTGGGAGACTATTGCTAAGGTTAACTGGTTTGAGGCTGCCTCTCTACTAAATGGTGAGGGCTGTAGAACAGGGCCTGTGCCTGATATGCCTCTGAAACCACACACACACACACGCGCACAGAAGCTCACACATGCACTTACACAGAGCCCAGCATAAGCGCACAGAAAAGGTACCTAGTATACATTTTTACATCAACATGAAATCAGAGTTATCTAGTAACATTCAACCCACCAGTTTGTGTATACATGCCCTGGCGGCCCTCAGGAGCAGTGGGTTAGGGGAAGCGGGTGCAGGCTTCCTGCCTACCAGTGTCCCAGCGTGGATTCAGGAGCCAGGCTTCCGTCGCTCCACTCACTTCCTCTATTAAACTTGTTCATAAACATGTTCATGTTCACGACCTGCCAGAACTTTTCCTGATCCTTGAAGGGGACAGCTGGCTCTGTCCCCAACCTTGGGCAGCAAGGAAAGGTGCGCTGGCCACTGCACACAGCCTTGGCCCGTCAACGGTCCTGGTGCCGAAGAGGGGGAGACGGGGGATGCCTTACAGGAGGCAAGTCATAGTGTCCAGGAATGTGGCTGTTCTTGGGTGAGTCGTAGTGGCCGGGAATCAGCCCTGGAGGCGGGGGGTGCTGGGAACCCATGGAGTCTCGGTCTGGAAACAGAGAGGGGACAGAAGGACGGGGAGGTAGCTCCTCCCCATCTTACCACTCCCCTCTGCAGCCTCGCCTGCCCAGACAGAGGGCTGGTGCCTGGCTACTGAGCAGTTTGTGCAGTTTGTGCAGCTCCTCACCTGCCATTAGGAGAGGCCACCTTGACCCGCCCACCTCACAGGATATGAGGACACTTTGTCACCTGCCTTGTTCCCCACTCTTCTGGGTACCAACTCCACAAGTCAGGTGCTATACAATCACCACTTCAAATCCTCAGTCCTGTGAAGTAGGCACCACCACTCAGGCTCTAAGAGGCAGTGTGGTTCCCAAACATCATGCCGGGTCTGAGCCCAAGTCTGCCCCCAAAGGCCTTGCTCTTGTGGCCACATCACGCCGCCTCCATGTTCCCTTTCTCTATCGCTTTCTCCCCTTCTACCTCCCTTGTCTCTTCTCCCTTTCTCCCTCTCTAGCCCCTGCCCCTGTGGAGAAGGAGGGCTCACCATGGGCCAGAGCAGTAGGCTGCTCATAGGTACCACTGTCTCTCTGAGGCCGGGGGTATCGCTGCCTCTGGCTGTCCGGGAGCCGAGGAAGTTGCCTGGGGGGAGATCCTGAGGGAGGGCCTTTCATCTCCACATAGCTGCTTTCCCGGGGGCCCCCTAGGAGACTGGGCAGGTCCCGGATGGTGGCATAGGGGTTCTCACTGCTCAGGGAAGCCACACTGGCCCCCAGCCCTTCTTCAGAGATGGGCCCTGAGGATAGAAAATAGAATTCAGACTCAGGAGAGGCACTGGCTCGTAAAACCCAGTGTAGCCCCCTTGCTCACCACCGCCCAACCCCCTGCCCCATGCCCATACCTTTACTGAAGAATGGGCCTGGACCACTACTGTTGCTGTAGCTACAGCTGTAGCTACGGTCCACGCGACTGCTACCTGAGGACAAGGAGGCAATGCCCAATCAGACCCCTGGTACCCTCTCCAGGCTCAAGCTCCCTCTAAAACTGGTGTCCAGAACCCCCTTCTGCAGATGCACACACTTAGATGGAGCGGGACGTTGGGCTGCACGCACCCGCCCTCACCAGAGGCCTGGCCTCCAGGCTCCTACCCCTGTCCAGAGGCCCCGGAGGGGCCTCCCGGCGGTGCTTCCAATCAGCAGGCAGGGTGGCGTGGCTGTCAGGGCTATGGGCTCCACCTGGCCACTCAGGGGCCTGGAGGCTGGCAAAAAGCTGATTGCCTGGAACCTGATAGGGGAGGAGTGGAATAGAGAGAGGAAGAGGCAAGGATGGAGATTTCCAGAAAAGCAGGTGTTCACCTCCGCAGGGCACCCCTTCCCCAGCACTGACCTTGTTAGGGGGAGGGGGGTTAGGTAAGCACTGTGACAGGGTGTGGTAGCTGGGGTTGGAGTAGTAGTGGCTGTAGCTCAGAGAGACATCTGCAAGAACAGACAGACGCAGGGCGGCCCACCCCGTCAGAGATAGGCCTGGGCCCAAGAATATTATTCTGTTTGGGGGATAAGTAATCAGCCTCTCTGACCTCCCTTCCTCCCTCCAATCCACTTCCCATCTTCCGGGTCCAGGGAGAGAAGCATGAACCCCACGCCTATAAGCCCGCCACTTATATGTGTCCTCCTCCCCCCGGCCAGCTCACCTGGCGTGACATACTCAGAGCCATCCAGTTGTCCGCTGCTGTACGCCACTGCCAAGTGCTGGTGCTCCTTGCCTTTTTGCCAATGGCGGTAGCCAATGAACAAAGCCACAAGGGCCACCACCAGGGACCCCAGCACTGGGATGCCGACCACTGCCCCCAGCGAGTTATAGGCCACTGGAGGAGTAGGCATCATGGTGACGGGCTCCTGGCTTCCTAGTGGGTAGGCAGTCATTCAGGATAGCGTCTTGGCCCTGACAGTGAGCTTGGGGGACATGCACGGGAGGACCCCTCGATGAGGGGCCTAGATCCTGGCAGAGACCCAGCCAGGTACCTGTGCCCTGGTTCCCTGAAGGTGATGGGGACCTAGAGAGGAACTCACCAATCCTGCAGGGGGCACCACTGTACCCTGGGGGACACACACAGGCTCCCGTCTCCGGGTGGCACCTCTCTCCAGAACCACACTGGCACTGTTGAGAGCAGTTGGCACCAAACATCCCTGGAGAACAGCCTAGGAGAGAGCCAAGGAGGTAGGCGGGGATGAGAGGTTGCCAGGACACTGCAGTCTCCTCCCTGAGCTAGGGCTCACTTGGGGACAGGGGCATGGAGCTCCCCTTCTATTGGTACCTTCCAAGCAGTGAGGTCCCGTCCAGCCTGGGGGGCAAAAACAGCTCCCATCCTGGTGATGGCAGGTCCCGCCATGGTGACACTGGCAGGGCTGGGCACAGTTGCTTCCCCAGTGTCCTGGAGGGCACGCTGCAGGAGACAAGGTGCCTGTCTGATGTGCTAGCCCAGCCCTCCCCTGCCCACACAAGGTGAATTCTCAGCCCCCAGTATCACTGAAATCTTCCCCTCAGCTTTGGTCTTCCCAAGGACACCACGGTTTGGACAGTATCTACACTCAGATGACTCGTAAATGCTGACCTGAAGACCCATGTGCCCAGCTGCCTCCTGAACATCTGCACTTGGCTATCTAAAGGCCACTCAGAACAACACAGCAGGGCCAGGCAACAAAAGCCTTCCAAACTATCCTGCATTGAGTAGCTCTGGGCTTTTTTTTTTTTTTTTTAAACATGACAGGCGTAAATGT